TCAAGCAGCAGGCAAATGTCTTAAGCCGCTTATCGCGCACCCCTTCCCAACACTCATCCTTCGAGCAACTATTGAGTGCAGTCTAAGCCTTTCTTATCTTGTCTCCTTGCATTTGAGTGTCACTATACCAATGACAGAATGAGGAGGTGAGTCTTAAACGCCTCTAAGTACAAATGGGTATTGGACAGTCTAAGCCTTAAAATTGCCAGGCTTAAAATATTTTCAATAGAGAAAGCAAAGAAGTGCAGTTGTGTAAGTTGAAGTCGCAAGGAGGCTTTAATAATTGCAATATGCATTTGATTACGCGCAAGAAGCAAATTTGAAACCATTAATCCACATTCAAAGTCTCTTAAATTACCCTTTATCGCTGCTCTATAATCGCATTTCAATAAGAAGCCCTCATCCTTTGCCTGACAACATTTTCCACATCAATTAGGAAGGCATGCAGCAAAATTGGATTATCGCAGCGATGGTTCGGTAATTGGAATGTTTTGCGGTTGCCACAACGGAATTGGCAACTGCCCACATGTCGCATTGTTGATTTACGGCCTCAGCATTCACGCAGACATGCAGTGGGACTTTTGGGGCATCCACAAATGCTGCAAGTCTATGTGGCCGTTGCACTGCTGGTGGTTTGGTGGTTACCTGCTGCACTCCTTTAACACCCGTCCAAATATTTCACGGTCTTCGGCGAACTGCGCAACTGGGGATTATGCAGATTTAATGGCCACGAATCGCACAGGGCATATTCAAATTGGCATCTGGCATTTTGAAACCCAATTCAAGAGGGCACAATGATTGAAAAAATTGGCTTAAGTGCTTAACTAATGGTAAGCATAACAATAAGCTGATTCACAAACATTCACCCACACACACACACACACAAACTGACCGCACATAAATATCCGGCTAGTTTGGGTGTCCTCTTCGCTCAGGAAGGAGTCGCTTGCGTGAGTCGCCAACATTTGTGGAGTGTGCGTCCATTAAGCGTTTTCCGTTAAAAGCCCACAGAGCATGGCATATAAATAGTGATAGGATTTGGAATTGGGTTGGTGATATGGATCGAAATAGTAAGTATTAAAAAATATGTTAATTGGCTATCAAGGTGAAACGCAACAAGGTAAAACTATGAAAATGGAATATTTAATGGAATTTGTTGAAAAGTTTGTTGAGCGATGTCATCCACCTGTTCCCTCAACCAAATATATTGTAAAAATGTGGTAAAGTACAACATAAAATGTACTTCAACATATTTTCATTTCATAGAGCGAATTTAAATAATTTTTTAACAGAAAATTTAAACAAAATGAAAATATCTTCTTTGCGAATTATTTCCGTTTGACTTACTACCAGTTTTTTGTTTGCCTTGCCATAAACTATAATAAAATTAAAAGTAACTAAACAAAATAGAATAACTGACTCAGTAGTTCTTAACTCATGACTGTCACATTTTATGCTGTTGTTGCGTTATTTGCACACTCCGCTCTATCTTTTGGGGATAACTATACACACACGTACAGGTGCACACACAGATGCAACTAACTGCAAATTGCAGCTGTAAATTGGAAATGCAATTCACAGTTTTAGCCCATTTTCCAGCGGCAACAAAATGTCCATTTAAAGTGGCAATTATGCAAATGCCTTTCCAACTCATATGTGCGTGAATATAATTGTTGGTATGTGTGTGAGCCACTCATGAAATTAATTTTCTCTCGATGACAGAGCGTGTCCTCTAGAGCAAATAAAGGTGTTTGGCTCCCAAATAGTGGTACGAATATGATCGATTCGATGAAAATATAAATTAAATGAAGAAAGTTAGCTGTTCAATTTTGTCAATATCACGTAGTTACCAGATTAATTTCAATGCCTGTCCCAAAGTTTTTGTCAAACCAAATTGAATAATTAACGATTTCCATAGAAAGCTTTTACTTCGGCGGTGTAAGCTGTGCTTTTTGCTTGTTTAACTTAAATTTATTTAAAGCTAATTTGACAGAAATTGAAATTCAGGCAGGGAAATTACGCATTATAATAAGGACTATTAAAAAAAAGAGGAGGCAGGCAAAAAACTTTGCAAATTTGATTGAAATTCGAAACTGAGCAGTAAAATGGACGTTCTGTGGCATTTACTTCCAGGCCATTAAAACACAATGACACACGCTTAGGTTAAGGGAACAGAGGAGGGACTGGGAGGGGACCTTTGTCTAAACTTTGGGCCTGACTCCTTGCTTGCTTGCCCTTGGATTGACTTTTTTGTCGCCTCTGACACTGTGAACCCTTGTCAGCTGTTCCGAGAGGGGGCAGAAGTTGTGATGACTCTGCCGATAATATCAAGTTTGCCTAGTGCTAAATCATGGCAGTTCGCTCTCAGACTAGACGGACCGAATTCACACAGCAGCCTTCTTACGCGCAGATTACATTAATCATAATAAATCATTCGGTTTCAGCAAAACCAGACAAAAAAAAATGTTGTTGTCCCTTAAGAGAATCCATAAAGTGCACTTGATTCCTTTTATACAGGGATTTATAGATTAATTTAGTTATGTTTTTCTTTTATATCTACCTCTCCTAAACACCCATATAAACCACATTTTAATATGGCTCATTTTGAGAGCAGGTGGTTCTGAACCTAATGAGCAACCCCAATTAGAACCAGAATGAAATAAATATGCGCGTGGCCGGCAGTCGTGAGTCGCCACTCCCTACCTCTCCACTTGTAAGATTAACAAATTAATGGCTTAACATTTGTGGGGTTTCTTTGGCTTGGGTCCTGCAAATGCTTTGTCATTTTTCATTTTTAATGTGCGCCACGGGACACTCCAAGATGTTTCACTAATAAGCCAGATAAGCCAAGCTTATAAAAAGTCGAAATCTTATCGTATCTTATTGCCAAGAACTCATTTAAGTTTTCCCAATTTGTATGGAAGCAGAAAATAATCTATGAAAAAGGCATCTAATTGAGTTGCCCTTTGCCGCATTGTCTGAGATTTACCGAGAAATGAGGCACACATATTGGCAAACATTCTGCTTCGTCATTAATGTGGACTGAGCAGCTCATCCGTTGCCTGGCAATAAAGGTAGCCACGAAATTAAATAAGTCCTGCCACACACACAAATAGCTATGGAGAGAACTTCACTGAGGCTGCAACTAACAAGCACATTGACAGTCGTTAAAAGAGGACAATCACAATGAGGATAACTAGCAAGCTGGCTGTTGCCAGGAGGCGAGAGACAGTGGTAACGTTTTATATATTTATGAGGAAAAGACACGGAAAGGACGATGACAAGAGTTCATGTAATAGCAGCAACACAATGCATAAAAGGTAAACTCCATTTGGTCAAAGAATAGAATACAATCAAAAGGAAGGCGGCGCTGTTATATGGGCTGTGGCTGACTTCCGTTTCCGTCAACAGGGACGCTGACTGGCGTTTCCTGTGAGTTAGCGGTGTTAGTCTGCCAAGACGACAGCCTGACAGTCCGTTAGTCTGCTTAGTGGCTAATTTGCAAATAGAATCGGGTTATTCGAGCGGACACGGGCATTAAAGCGAAAAGAAGGCAAATGGCTTTTGCAATTTAAATATAGCTTCTTATTATGACTTAAAGTGAAGACATTAACACAACATTAATGTTCTAAATGAAGCAGTCTCGCCTTATTAATGATATTGCTTGTGCATACAAGTGGTCAACAGACAGATAAAACATATTCAAATTACTAATTGATTAAATAGTCTGTCAGTTCTTAATTTGACTTCGTTTACTAGCTGCTACCACACAATATGTTTAGAACTGCACGGCTTATAATTAATTCAAGAAATTGCGGTGAAAATATCAAACAATCGACCAAAAATTCGATTCGCTACACTGAATTTCATGTTTGAACATTTTTTCTTTATCAGGCTTCCAATTTATAATGAATAAAATATACAAAGATTGCCACAGTTGTGAAAAGAGCTTTATAGAAAACTGCCAGTTGTATGTTATGATTGACCGTAAAATTTAAATCTGTTGAAATATTGAAGCTTTGGCAACCGCTGCCATTGAAAACATTTTTATGGAATTGAGTTGAGTGAGTGGCCATTGGATGGTTGGTTGGCTATATCCGGTATATCAATGGGCTTGCAGCGTGTTTGATTTAGTTGCGGCTGCATCGTTTATTTTCATAGGCATTACATGCCCCATCCACGCGGACATGAATCATGTTTGCTTATCATAGATATATCATGGTGAGCGACTCAATTTGATTGAAATTATGTACTATGGAAGCAATTAATATGTTTGCACATCAAATAAGTAGATGTCCAAGAATTATTGGGAAGATACCCACATAAATTGTGTGCTCAGTCAGGTTCTTGCTCGTAAGTCAAAATGGTTAGTCATAATTTGTTATGTCGAAGTATAAGAAATATGTCCAAGCCAATGGCCTAGAGCCATTAAACGGCCAGCAACCAGAACAACAACAGCCATAACCAACAACAAATATAAAAAAGCCAAAAGTATGGCGCACATTCGACACGAAAAGCAATTATCTACACTCCTGCAATAAAAAATATGCCATACACTGCTCCCTCTGGAGTGCAGGGGAATGAAAAAAATAAAGCTGAAGGAAAATGATGTCAAAAATTGGCGCTGTGAAATTTATTACCTTTCCTTTTTTTGGCTGGCTGGGAGTCTTCGTCGCTAGAATTGCATTTCGCGTGTGCCGACAACATTTTTATGGCCCCTGCGACTGCTGAGGAGTTGCGGGAGATCTTTTGATTTTTACGAGCATGACGCTTTCAGGCGTTGAGTCGACAAGTCTAAATCTGAATTGGCTTTACTCGTGAATAGGCCATGGATTTGCACAAAAGCCAATTATGAAGATCATAAAAACTCAACACTCGCTTATGCCAAGGACTTTATTTTGACATTTTCAATTTACTAGCCATCAACAGAAGCCGCATAATCAATCTGTTATTATGTATTTCATCTTGTTCTCATTTTTTCCCTTTTACTCTGCTTTCAGGCCAAAAATGTTGCAACGCCCAAGTTGGCAGTGCGCCACATAACGTTGCCCCCCTTCAGCATCCTGTGAGTCCGTGAGTTGAGTGTTCCAAAAATGGCGGCACCCACGTCTATGGAAATCATCAGCTGCCTGACGCTGCTCCTCGGCATGCTCATCAGCAGCGGTAAGTCGACCACTGTGACGATGTCCCCATTTAGAGCGCTAACGAATTGTCTTTCAATTATTTGACAGGCTACTGCATAGACTGTTTCAAGTGCGTTTCGTATAACGGCGCTAATAAGGCGTGCGATGATCCATTTCATAACAATTACTCCACTGCCATACTCGAATCACCCTGCATGGGCGGTCGCAAGGGTCGCGATGGCCTCTTTCCCGCAACGGCTTGCATTAAAATCGCCGGATATTATGGTGAGTGATGAAGCATCGTCTTATATTACAGCTTCATTCATTCATTTTGGTTCGCAGATGACAACGGCGAGACGATAACGGTGCGAGGATGCGCCCTGGACAGTGGCACACTCACAACAGACACAGAGATCATAAGAATGTCGCATTGTGGCAAATTCTACTATGACAACAGGTGCGTCGTTTAGCCAAACACAATATCTTTCATTTTATGCACATGCGACCAATTTTATTACACGACTTACACACGTCTCTTAATAAGGCCATAAATTGCGCACATTTAAATTTGTAATAAAATGTAATGCTCTGATCGAATTACGTGATGAGCATTAAGGTTATTTACTCTTCGTTACCATAAAAAATATAATTATATATACCAGAGTGCTGCGTATATATCATGATATATATTCTAACATAGTAAACTATGTTGTACTTACCTTTTTCCTTCTTTTCATTCATTTCGTTTGGTTGTCGAAATATTAAAACCTCTTTTTTGGCACGCGCATTGAATATTTAAGACAATTCTTTTGCTAAATAAAAATATAATAGTAAGATAAAATCGGAAATTTATTCACAACTTGCAAGCAATTTATGTTGTGCTAGAAAACCAACTCCGACATCTGTGCCACATTGCTGCACAGCTGTGCAACGTTGTCTGCAATTGTTTGCTTAAGCACGCCATTTGTTTGATGCAAAGTCCTGATTATGTGCATAAGTATGATAAATCTTATGTTTTAACCGTCTAAATACGTAACTCAGATGTTTTTCGTTTCCCCCTAACACTTATAAGTATGTATTAAATCACATGCAGTTGAATGCGACAAAATTCGTCGTTTACCTTCGTCGTAGACATAGTTTAATGTAATATGTCTGTTCTTCTCGTCTAACCTTCAGGTACGTACACGGCTGCCTTCAGAGCTGCAGTGATGCGGATGCCTGCAATGGTGGCCACCCAAAGGACGTGGAGTCCTTTCTACTTAGCATCGCGCTGCTGCTCTTGGCGTCTGCAAGGTAGCAGTGACAACATCAACAACAATGAAATCAGCAAAATGAACAACAATAGATGTTGCTAGCATCCCATGGAAGATGAAGGGATTTAGCTAAAGTGAATGTGAAAAGCATTTAATATAATTCAGCTGCGCGAAATATTTTTACATAACTCATACACTGCTATCTCTCTCTCTTTCTCTCTGTGTTTCTTCTTCTCACCATTTGTTGTGTGTCTCGCTATCGTGCTCCTCTATCTCTACCACTATCTCGGTGTCTACAATTGCACCTTACAGTAATTGCACACAAGGATTACACAGGATATCATGGCGAAAACAAAGCGAAACATATTTATATGGAATTCATCAAGCAATTATGTGATTTATAAATGAATATTTAACAACTACTTAACAATAATTGATGGAAAAAGGAACAAAACCAAAAAGTAAAAAACTAAATTTAAACTATAAACGCAAAGCGCTGCTAGGCAAATATCAAAACTAAAATCAAAGCTAGACAAAACGAGATTTAAAATTCAATTTCAATTACTTTTAAAAATTAGGTATTTACATATTTACTTACAACTCACCTGTGTATTGTATTGTTCGACTATTGTATATAGATTTATTTGTTAGTATATGCTGAATTTTAGGCAAAAATGAATTAACAATTACGAGTATGTATACTTAATTTTAATTAACGGCCACATAGATAGAGTTAACAAATGTAGAGAACTGCGAAGCAAGCCACAGAAAATGCATCCAGATTCTCATAAATGATAGTGTTCTATTCAACATAAAATAGTCCAATCTTAACTGAATCATTATTATTATCACTACTTAAGATAAGAGACCTTGACTCATCGACTGATAGGTGGCTCGGAAATTGCTTTGAATTATCAGATAAGAGCTTATCAATTTAGCAATGCGACAGCCTGATATAAGAAATATTTACCGGTTACGAAGCACACAGTACACATTCGAATTTCGAAGAAAATGCCTGGTAAGAAACGGAGCACCATTAGACGTGCAGAGCCAAATTAATAATCCGACTGGATCTTTGCAGTACACAATTGGTTGCATTATAGCAATGGCGCTTTGCCAGAAGATGCAGTCGTTGCTGGACATGATTCCGATGGCGGCACCATATTTGTAGGCCGTGCCTGGTACAACAACGACTTGCTGCCAGCTAAAATCATCCCCAACAAGGGCAAGGCATACGTGGCCTATGGCGAACAGGAGATAGAACTGGAGAACTACGAAGTTCTGAGTGGTCAAAACTTCATGTGGTTGCCTGGCGAAAATGGCGAAGTGCCACCAAGTGCCGTTCCAGTAGGTCACACTGTGGATGGCGAGACGCTATATGCCGGACGCGGGTATCATGCCGGCAGTCTGACCATGGGCAAAGTACATCCCTCCCACAATTGCCTCTACATACCCTTCGGCTCGGAGGAGGTCAAGATCTTTTCGTACGAGGTTCTGTCGTGCCTTCTGCGATAGGCTTTTAATAAAACATGTTCATGCATACAATAATCTTCTACAATAAGCTTAACGTTTTATATAAACTTATCAACAGCCGTTATCTTTGGTTTTATTAAGCCCAGTAAAAAAGGCGATTGTTTAATCAGCTTATAATTATTGTAGGAAGCCGTCATTATTTATGATCGACTTCCACTGTTTCGCAGTTCTTTTTACAGTTAGTTAACTCAGACCTGGCCCTTATGAAGGAATTTAATACGGAAATCAGTTCTAAGTTAACAATTAAATGAAAGAGATGAAATTGAAAAGATAAGCTATTAAAAATTTAGTTTTCGACTTGCAAAATTACCTTAAGCCCAAACGTTTAATTATAAAGTCTAACTACATTTTACGTACTCCAATGAAAATGAAATACCAATAGGACCAAGCTACATCTACGTGCAAAGCTTAAGAGATCAACAATAGCATTTTATAAATAAGAATTGTTAATGATAACCTTACAATTATAGTTACCATTTATAACTGTTTTATGTTGACGATTAAATGATTACTTTTTACACTAAGCGAGCTTGCAATGGTTTCCGCATTCAAATGAAATTAAAACTATGTAAAAAATACAAAAGAAAGAGTTTGCACACGTTTTTGATATGATAACAAAATTTTGCTGAAATCGCTGCTTGCAATGCAACAAAAGTATTTAATCAAAAGCAAACGTTTTCAACAAACTAAGCACCTGATTGGCTAACAACCGATATAATTAAAGCATTCTTCAACACAATTAACATATACAAATACAAATACAAATCCAAATCAAAGTACATTTAATGAACGACCAAACAAAATGTATAAAATAAAACATTGAAACGTTTCATGGCAAAACAGTTGCTAAACATTTTTGAATGCAAATGTATTTAGCACCTAAGAAGTTTATATTTACATTTAAGCGCAAGCGAAAAAAACTAGATAATGATGCTAACAAAGCTAATCGAATTGAATTACAACTGTTTCTTTTGCATTTAAATGCGTGCATACAACTTTTTCTAGCGCTAATTAAGATAGAAAACACAAACACACAAGAACTATAAACATTTCTTAATAAAAACGGCATTCATATATTGAAAAATCAAGATGTCCTTAAGAATTTATCTATATATCTATATTTACAGTGAGTTAGTGTCTTGCGCTAATCTAAAAGACTCTTCACATAGGCGGCATCCTCCTGCACAAATTTGTCGGCTTGATCTGCAGGCACCTCGACACTTTTGTAATTGTCCAGTCCAATTTCGTCCTCTTTTCTGTAAACACATTATGTTTAGCTCGAACAATCAATGAGTGAAGATTCAACTTACTTGATCAGAATATCCACAACGTTTTCGCAAGCCAGCAAGCACTCGCTTTCGCGACCCACTTTCGCCTCCCATTTGTGGTACTCGCGCAGTATTTCATAGACGCCTTTGGCGCGCAGCACTTCGCGACATCGGCGAGTGGCGCACAATTGCAACAGGCATTCCAGCAACATCCTGCGCAGATCCGGATCCGTTTCGCGAGTCTTGCTCTCAGGCAGATACTGGTACATAGATCAGTGGACGAGATCAGTAAAATATAATACATCAGGCAATTGCAGCAAGCTACTCACCTGCAGCTCAATGGGCAGCTTCTCCATTTCCTCGTCTGTGAACTCTTCGGGCCCGCATAGCGGCTGCAGTATGGCTACCAATATGTCATCCTGCTCGTTTAATATTACATCGTGATACACTGCATCAAAGCATATGTTTTTAATGATGCCAATGGTACCGCCGCGGCGCACCACGCTCTCTTCGAACGAGGCAAAGGGCAGGAGCTTCTCCAGCAGCTGATACTTGGGTTGGCAGCACAGTTCACGCCCACGTGGTACTTGAGTAAGATTGCAAAAGATGGGCGCCAAATAGTGCAGCTTGCATTTTTTCTTATTGTACTCCAGCTTGGCAAATGCTTTGGCCAGCTGAGGAAGCGTCGATTCCAATGTATCCAGTATAGAGTGTACGAGCGCCTCGACGCGGCTCAAATTGCTCAACACCATGCTCCAAGCATCCGCAAGCTCTGCCTGCTCGTCGCAGATCTGCTTGGAAGCCACCTCCGCAATAGCAAATCTCTATAAATTGTATTAAATGATGAAAGTTCTTATTTTTGATTCGCTTCAGCTTACGGGTTGCACTTGCTTCGCCAGCTCGTAGACTTTGATTGCGCCAGTTTCCTCGGCCGTCAGGTTAATCAGACTGAGAACTGCATCCTTTGAAACTGTAGCGTTGTCATCGAGGGTCAGACCAAAGATGGCCATCAGCATGTCATCCAGGGAGAGTATGGCCTCTTTGCCCTCAACACTTCCAGTCAGACCTAGCAAATATTTGGTATTAATTATAATTTTATATGTATTTTTTTAGATCTTACAGCCGAGCACGTGTTGCATTTGCCGCACTTTGTTTACATTTAATTTCTGTTTTCTTTGATTCACTTACTTAGCACGTGCGTCAGTGCCACTGCTTTGAGGTCCAGTCGCTGGTTGGGCTGCAGGAATTGTATTAGTTCTCTTACATTATCCATTTCTCGTCTTTTATTATTTATTGCCAATTGTTTTGATTAGTAATTTCGCATGCTCTAAATGCGAGCGTAGTGTGACCGCAAGCGGCAAATGAAAAAATACATATTTTGTCACACTGTTGAAGGCGGTGGAAAAATTTAACATATTTGACTTATTGCAGGCATTAATATGAAAACTTTTAAAAATGAACTGTATAAATGTTTACATTTTAATTTATTTTTCGTATGAAAATATTTTAAAAGTTGAATTTTTCCGTTAATTTATAAAAGGAAGTAACAGACTTGCCATTCAAATGTGAACGTTGTTCGATGCATAACGTAAAGTTCATTAATATGACAAAATCATCGCAGTAAGCTTTTGAGAGGCATAGAATTAACGCATATTTAAAATGTTTGCAGAACTAAAGCTGCATCGAATCTTAACATTCAGTTACTTATATTATAGAACTATTCTGTATAGAATCATTATATATAAAAACTATTATTTATCGAACTATTATATATAGATCTATTATATATAAGAATACGTTAGGCGAAAATAAATTGAATTTGTTCTACAATAAAAGTAGGCCACAATTTGGAACTTGATGGAAATTTAGCCAATGCAGCATTTAGTGAGTGCACATAAAAGTATGCCCCAATTTCTAACTTGATGGAAATTTAGCCAACGCAGCAACCGTGGTTGAGTCACTGGTTTGTGCACATGCTTTCCCAACCAGCAAGAATTGGTTTTTGGCAAGGTGATTTGTGTGTATAACTTCTGTAATTGATTAAGTTGCAGACCATCACTATCACTTTTATTATCTTTTCGCTGTACTGCTGAATGTAAATTCGGAAAAGTCGTAAATCACATATATCAAGTGAACTATTTACGCATGTAGACAATAGTTCGTATTTTGATATATGCAAGATTGCATATATCGCCATATAACCACATGCTTGGATTAAAGGCCGAAGGCGACATACAAAATACAATAAACAAAATACAATATAATACATACAAGCAAAACAAAATTGCCTTGCTCAGGAGCTTTAGAAAATAAAACTTTAACTTATCTATCTTCAAACAAAAACAATTTTGGTAATGCAAATCGAAGAAATGCGCACTTGGCTTGAATTGAATTTAAACTTTTGCGATTTCATTGCAAAGAGCTGCGACAAACCGAAGAGCTCACTGTTGCCAAAGGATCAACAATTGCAATTGAGAAAGGATTCGGTAAAAGAGTTTGCTCGCCTTTGGATTCGCTGAATGAATCCCCGAAGCGGCTTTATGCGCAAAACTTTTGCTTGTTATTTTTAATGGCCGGCAATAATCGTTAAATGTGTCGACTGTGTCCTCGCTGCTGCTGCTGCTCCTACTCCTGCTTCTGCTGTTGTTGCTGCTGCTCCTGTTGCCAACGTCCCAGATTCTGTTTGGATGCTAGCACCGCTGCACTCAGCAGAATGTCCCATTCCTGGCAGTTTCATGAGGTGGGCGTGTTGGGAGGGAGGCTGGGCGTGTGATGCTGGCAAGTCAACTGAAAATTTCATTTCGTTTCGCTAGGGTAGACCGAAAACTTTTTAGACTTTTGTCGACTTTTCGCATTTTTAGCTGCGGCCAAGTGGCAAATGCTAGCTCAGCAGGCGCACGGAGTTGGGGCCAGGCTTCAATTGTATCCGTATCCGTAGCCGTAGCCATATCCGTAGTCTTGGCTGAATGTGAACCCTTCTCCAAATGTTAATTTCATAACCCGATTCGTACGCGGCTAACTGTTGTTTCATTTATTTGCCTTCTATGCAAATTTCCTTCCGCCCACATGCGCACCTCATTTGGGCGTGGCACCAGCCTCATGCACACCACGAAGCAAAGGGGTTTTGGCGGGGAGGTGCCAGTGTTTCTACCTGTTTGCTTTTGGTGAGCCCAATGGGCCATGTCGTTGTTGTTTTATAAATATTTAAGAATTCTAATCAAGATCCAGCTGGCTGGACGCTCGAGGACACTCGCTAACGAAGACCACAACCCCCAGCCACCTCAGAGGACCTATTTTGAATGGCCCAAATGTTGTGTTGAATCTTTTTGGTGGCGTTTTAACGTTCTGCCAAATGTGCAATTCAAAAACGAATTCAAGAGTTGCATAGTTGGTAGCCTTATTGTCGTATTACTTACATTTTGATAGGTTATGTGATAATGAAAGATTTTTGTTTAGAATAAGATTAATTGTGAAATTTGTTTATAACAGTTTAAGTTGAAGTTATTGATATTAAAGCAGATTTGTCTTAAATAAAAGTTTTCAGTTTTAATTTATTTTAAAAAAAGTGGTAACAAAAATTAATTAATTTTAAAATGAGGTGTTTAGTTGCAACTGGAGGTACTGGTTATATAGAAGCCAAAAAAACAAACAAAATTAAAAATTTCACTTTAACTTTCTGACATAGAAAAACTAACTGAAATTTTAAACTTTTGTTTAATGTGCGCATTATTATAACTGAAATCAATTAATGTTTTAAGTGAGTTTGAATTCTTCAACTGTCTGATATTTAAAGTAATTCGTAAATAGTTTTTAATAAAAATTATACTCGCAATAAAGATATAAAATTGATATAAATTGTGTTTACATACGCTGGAAGTTCTCTCTTTGCCCGGCTGACAATCAATTTAAATGTCAACTTCATAATCATCGTCATCGCAGCCAGTGTTACCTGTTCAGCGCGAACCACTAATGAACACAAACAACAATAACAACAATAGCAACAGCACCAATGTCGACAAGCTGCACTGTTGAAAATTAATTACGCTGCGGATTGGCCGGCATGTTACCAGTTAATTATGACCTTTTTCGCCTGTGAGTGTGCCGACGACAAATTAAAATTATGGCCGAATTCTACACTGGTATTGGTCCATGACGATGCCGACATTGAAGCCGGCTTCACCACGCGGAGGAGTGGCCGAAAACCAGTTTCTTTGTCTTACCTCGCAGCGCACCCCACTGCGCTGATGTCTTTGTGTTTCGCCATAAATCCAATCAACGTCCCTTTTAATGGCGTTTTTCTTCATGCATCCATTTTTTTCCACTGTCTTCATTTTTTTCCGTTTTTTTTTCGCTGTGCTCGCTCAATTTGCGGTTGTGTTGCTTTTGGCTTTTATCTTAATTGATAGACGGACCACACATGAGTCAAATTTGGTATTAATTTTGTATTCGATAGCAGTCATAAGATAGCAGTCTAAGAATGCTTTATATTTAGCTATAATGCTTAGTCTTTCAATCGTATGCAAAACATTCTTGTGGAAGAGTTTCTTAATATGTGCGGAGTCTTTAAATATTTTGCATGCTTTGTGGATATTAAATGCGCAAATGACATTCGCAAAGACAAAGCGTGCGTTTTAACGATCACAAATGGCAGTCCTGAGCACATTTCCACTGGTGGAACGCCGGATATGAATACGGCCGTAAAGGTCGAACGTGGGGAACACGACACGCAAGCCAATTGAATGGCGAATTACAGGAAAAGGGGTGTTTGGCTTGCCATCTCTTCTTCTGAGTCGTTCATATTTATGCGTTGTAAGGACGTTGGATGTTCGCACATCCTGCGCTGGTACACATGTACGTGTTAATATCCTGCCAGGCTCACAGCTTTCTCTCGATGTCGCTGTAAAAATAAAATGCCGCTGCAGTTGTTGTATCCGAGAAAGGGAATCGAAACAAGCACCAGCAACGTGCATCCAACTCCAAATTGCCATTGGTGCTGAATTTGTGGGACGGGCGTTTCGGGTGTTTCGGGGGAGGTGTATTGCGTATTCATTAAAACTTTATAATCACCAAACATGAACGATACGTGTTCCGATTGCAAACTGCGTTATATTCAAACACACACGCACATTACACAAGCACTTATCGTACATTAACTTTTCGAAGATATGGGATTGTATATTTAACATATGTGCATGCTGTGTATTCCATTGTGTGTGAGTGTGTTTGAATCCCCTGGCCATTATTAATACAATTTTCTGTAATATCCGACAAGTAAGTAAATAATGATTTATAATATACATTTACTTGCTCATTTGATTTAATTAATTTTTCAATTAAAATGCATTCCTTTTTCTATATATTTTATATTTGTTCAATTATTAGTATAAGTAAATAATTAGAGAGGTAAATAAATAAGTATAACTTAAACAACATAGTCCCATAAAATGTAAATTTTATTTCTTCAATTATTAGTATAAGTAAATAATTAGAAAGGTAAATAAATAAGTATAACTTAAACAACATAGTCCCATATAATTTAAAGATTATCCTTAACGGCGTTTTGATAGTTTATATAAATTTGTGCAATATTCTTGATGGATGTAGCTAAAACAAAAAACTTGAAGTTCATTAAAAATAACAATCTACACTTGAAGAAAAGAAAGAGAGAGTTTGAGTGAAAATTAAGAGAAGAAATAAGGAGAGATTTAAGTTATTATATAAGTTATACAAGATTATTGAAGCAGAAATTATCATCAAAAACGATATCCCATAGATAAAATAACACATGAAGCTTGTAGAAAGATACGAAGAGTTATCTCCTAAAAATCCCAACAATTAAAATAAGTATTTTTTTATGATGATTATGAATAAAAGCGAGCTATGCTTTTCTCTTTCAATTTCAATTAGAATACTTTCCAGTTCTTTCTCTGCTCTGTATCAGGAGTCAGCATAATAATTTAAAATTTCCTCATGAATATGGCTGAGTTTTTTTCATTCAAACGAATGCAATTTTAAATTTTCCGTTTCATAATTATATTTATGCAAATGTGCACACACATGTTAACCCGGGGCAGAAAGTTAAGTTGAGTTACCATGAATATGTAAACATATAAATGTATATATGTATATAAGTATATATGTAATGTATTTGTTTGTATGTGTGCTTGTGTGCATTGCAGCTTCTGGGTAGAATATAATTTTCGTTTTTAATATTCTCTCGCATGCCCGGAGTTTGTACATTAAATTTATTTATTGGCGCAAATATTGGATCGGATGCTGTTGGCTCGTCTCTCTTATGCCATTTGCATTATGTGCCCCAACGTTGCCCGTTACTGAAATACATAAGTAGACACA